CAACGCAGACGAGTTTCAAAAGTCCAATACGGCCCTCGCGTACACTATTTTCTTTTACGTTAGGATTTCGAATTTTCAATCAATAGACATAAATATTTGATATAACTTTTTATCGCAGTTATTTCAATGTTATGATAGTTTGTATACTTAGTAATGATTTTTAGCAAAAGTTCGGTAACTGTTATAAGCAAGTATATACGATATGGGAATATGTATCGTCGTTAGCACCACAGTGACAATCGTCTGCACGATGCCATCAATTTTGTTATTTTGTTATGATTTTAGTGTATGTTTACATATATTTACATGTATAGGATATTTTATACGCTCAGTGAACAAAGGGTAGTGTAAAATAAGTGGTAATGTAGCAAGTTAAAAATATTGGTCTCTAGTGTCCAAGACCACAAAAGTATAGCTCACATCCTCATACCTTTATTAACTACACTTAAGAATCTTAAGAGTCCTTCACCATCTCCCTGAACGGATTCTTTATCTACTTTTTTTTTGGTAACATCTGTTGGTGGTCCATGATGATAGTAAAACACCCCAAATAACAGTATGTAATTAAGTCATCATTCTAGTGAGGATCCGCCCACCTGCGCACTACACGTGCCAAAACTCCACTACTCTCACTTAAGAGAAGAATCTTTCAATTTAATGTAATAAAAATATATGTAAAATTTTAGATTTTTAACAGTGATAATTTTAAATTGGTGACCCTCAGAATATGTGTTACGAAAGTGAATTTTTCGTTTTATCTCACAGACTGTACCACGAAACACCACACCAATCAAGCGCATATGGATAAAATCACATTTTTGAATTTGAATTCATTATTCTGCACGTAATTTTCCTAAAAAATAAGCAAAAAAAAAATAATAAATATTTTTCTCGAGAATTGAACCAGCGATCTTCTGCACACTAGCTAAATACCCTATGCATTTTGCTACAAGCGATCCCTATTAGAGACGAAGCTCTTTCTTCTTGTGGCTCGTAACTTATCTCTAATATTGATATTCATATACTGATTCATAAGGTTCGATTATACAGAACATCAATTAATAAATTTTTTGTTTAATTAACTATTATCCTTTTAAACAATCCAATAACTCTTTCCAAAACTCAGAAATGAAAATTTTTCAGTAGCTGTTTTTCTATGTATCAATTAACATTTACTTCAGTTTTAGTAATTTGTTACTTTTAAAATAAATAAGTACATGATTGTTGATACAATTTTTTCATTCTTTCTATAATTTTCAAAAAAAAGTCCCAGCAGCTAAGAATTAAAAAAAAATTTTTTTATTAGTGGTTTATACATAGAAAGTTTTATTAATACATGCATTGATTTTCATTACATTTTATTCTTTCACAGTATTTACTTCGGGACTGAAGTGACTTTTTTATTTAAGAATGTTCATTATAGTAAGCAGGGTGAATGAAGTCTTCAGAGAGGTAATTGGAGCGCAAATATGCAGTAACTCTGGCTATTACTTTCGTCACATGGATATACCTTTGCATATACTTTTAGGCATACTCGACCGCTTCTTTCTTATTTCATTAAAGTAACCATTTGTGGATCTGTTTAAACATTGAATGAGTTTTGTTGGAATGTAAGTAAATTTGTATTAGATGCGTAAGTAGTGACATCTGTTATGTGGCATAAGCACTGTGATGCTTTGTAGTTTGTATAGTGATGCAGTTGGGTGAGACGGAACATGGCCGTTGCCGCGCACGCACGCTCTCATAGAGTCTCCCGGTATTATGAGAGGAGAACTTGTATCTCGGTTAATCTATATTTCTATTGTAAAATATATAATTTAAGTGTTGACAAGTGTTATATTATTGATCCACTACCTTATAGTATATTTATGTAACAAGTTTATGTAATAGCATTATATTACACAAAAAAAATTGGAAAATTTTTATAGATCATTTCCTTATAAATGCATTCTTATGTGATAAGGTTACATATTAAATTAAGTTTTTTTTTAACTTAGCGTAAAAAAATGATACAGTTGATTGATCAGCAACTTTTTGTGGGTATTTTTTATGCTACAACGAATATGAGTTGGATGTTTCAATAATATCTATAAAAAATCTATGTGCGGTGAAAGTTTTATACTTGCATATTATATATGCGGTGACTGTAGTCTTGTCAGCGCCCTCGCGCGCTTACCGTTGGAAGCAGGATCTAGTCCCGCAAGCCAACTTTTGCTTTCTCACACAGTCCAGCTCTATCGCTCAGTGTTCACACACGTCAACATAAACTTAGCGTCATATATCAATAAAAGATTTTTTACAGTTTATACTTAAAAGTGTAGCGTTAATTCTTTCTCCTTCACCCACTTGCTTCCATACCCAGGCATCTCCAAAGTGGTAACCCCTTCACAAGAACACTCAACAGACAAAAAAAAAAACTCGAGGTGAGTTCCAAAACGAGCATGAGAAAACTCTAAGAGACAGCGAAAAATTGAACAAAAAATATGACGAGTGTTAGTATGCGATAGCAAAAAAGCTGTTGTGTTGTGTGAGTGCTATTTAACTCTTTTTATGACACCTGTTTCGCTCTTCTCGCGCCCCAGGTCGTCTGTACCTTGTCCTCCTCGCTCAAGAGGTTGTATCTCTTTTATTTTTTATTCTTTACCTTGCGCTAGAGCTTGTGATGACTGTTGCATTCATCCTGGCCCTATATTTCTCATCCGGTAAAAGGGCCTGGTATCCTTAGATTCAGACAATTCTCTCTTTCACGTGCGCATTTATACCCGCACCGTCCCCCTCAGTTCTTGTAACTTGGTGGTTATTATTCTCGCTCTGTCTCTTTCGTGCACAGCAGAATTGGTAAGCACCAATTGGTGCTAGTAACACTGCACACACTACTCGCCCACTAGTGTGGGTGATCTAAACGGCAAAGAAGAGACTGCGTATTAAGTAGTGCAAAGCAGACAGTGATAGCGCGCGCTGTGGCCTGCAATAACTCTATTTTGCTTGCTTCCACACAAGCCAACGATGTCTGACAACGAGCAGTCTGCCCTTCCAAAATTTCTCCCTGTGTTTATATAAGCAAGCAACATTTTCATGTTTCGTCCGATTTTGTAAGGAGTGGTCGTGGATTTTCACAAAATTTAAGTATGATGTAAATGCTTTAAAAAATACGGGTTTTTAATTTTCAGTCTCTTAGAAACTCCTGGACTTAAAAAAAATACCATTAAAGTATCCAAAAAAGGAACTTTTTGCCCTATTTTCGAAGATTGATATTTCGATGACCTCTAAGTTGATTTAAGTCCAACAAGTAGGTTTTTTCCATTTAAGTTTTACTTCTTAAAAAATAAACAGAACACGCAATTATGAACGCCCATTTTTGGGGATCAATTCAGTTCAAAGGATAATTCGAAAATATAACTATTTTTAAATCACTGTCAAAATTACACCAATTGACTAAAGACTTTTTAAAAAGCTATATAAGGTAGGCTTTTACATGACCTTCAAAACTCTACTGCGTAAATTAAAATCAATTTAATAAGTTTGGGGATACAGCTAATTAAAAACGGTTATTTTTCAAAAAATCGTATTTTTTTGCATTTTCCAACTGGTGTAACTTTTTTCTGGAAACTTTAGAGAACACAAAAATTAAACTGAAGACAGTCCTTTACACGTATAAAAAACTTCCGCTAGAAATTGTCTTGGCCCCAGCCTGTGTATACTTCATTCAAACCTCTGAAAATCAAGTATTTGCATGTCTAGTACGCCCCTAAGCCAGTACACTCTATTATTACGTCTTCTTCTTGTCATTCTGAGAAAATCTCAATACTAAGCATGATGCAAAATATAAAAGTAAATACTGAAATCTTTAGTTTAAGCATTGGTTAAAGTTTCCGAAAGGTCTAGAACCAAAGTTATGACAGTTTGAAGTTTTTTTACAATTCGATGAACCAAATCAGTGAATGCTTATTTTATCCGATTTTGAAGATCAGTCTAACATTCCTTATAACTTTTATTTAAGGCCACTCAAAAACATTTACCACCATGTAAATCTAAGGGCTTTAACTGTAGCTTCATTATCTCTGACAGAATTATTTTTTTTCAGTCCAGTAAAATTTTTTCAATAAAGTTATGAATACTACACTATTTTTTCCTGCCGTAATTAATACTACTCTGTTTTAAAATTTAAAAAAATGTATTATCCTAAATATTATCTAATATAAAATTAAAATCGACTTAGTATTTTAAGGAAATAGTATTATTAGTTTTACATACTTTTACTATTGCCGATGAGATGTACTTTTTATTTTATGAGATTAAATTATTTAATACGTTATAGTTGATAATTTCTTTCAAACTTTAATATGTTAATAACAGTTTACAATTAAAGTTTGTTGTTCGCAGAGAATGATATCACTTTTATAATCGTTGATTTTTTTTCGACTTAAAATCGACTAAAAAAGGTCTTTTCCCTGAATGCCACTGGAGGCACTGGAAAAACATTCCTAATTAGTCTTATGTTAGCCCAAGCAAGATCGGCTGGAAAACTGTCCCTTGCTGTCGCATCTTCTGGCATTGCTGTCACTCTCTTGAGTGGAGGTAGAACAGCTCACTCCACTTTTAAACTTCCATTATGTATTTTTTCCGGAGAAGATTACACTTACTCGATTCGCAAAAATGGCCCACTTGGAAAAATTCTTCAAGATATAACATTTACTGTACACAATGGGTGGACAATGAGTCAAAGAGCTCACATTGAAGCAATGAATAGAACATTGCAAGATTTAAGATCAAACCAGAATTTAATGGGTGGCATTACATTTGTTTTTGCTGGTGATTTTAGGCAGACGTTACCAGTAATTCCGAGAGGAACTAGAACTAATTATTTTCATACCTGTTTAAAATCATCATTTCTCTGGCATTATGTAGAGCCTCTCCAATTACGTACTACCATGAGAGCACATCTCTGCGGAAGAAACACGGAATTTCCAACATAGCTGTTAAAAATTGGCAATGGCACGATGGCAAACGAAAATGATTTAATCACTACAGATCAATCAATTGGGAAACTGGTTACAACTATCGATGATTTAATGTCTGAAGTTGACTCGGACATTGAAAATTTATCAAACAAATCATACCAATGGTTATGTGAAAGAGCGATCATTTCACCGAGAAATTCTACAGCAGAGGAAATTAACAACAATATTCTTCAAAAGTTTGTAGCTGATTCTCAAGAGTACCTCTCTATTGATTCAATCATCGCATCTGAAGATGTTGTTAATTATCCTCAGGAATTTTTAAACTCCTTAACTCCATCAGGACTTCCACCCCACAAGTTGAGTTTGAAAGTTAGAGCTCCGATTATGCTACTACGTAATCTTCAACTCCCGAACCTGTGTAATGGAACCAGACTGCAAATTAAAACTCTACGAAATAATATTATAGAAGATACTATTTTGACAGGTCCAGCATCAGGACCAATAGCTTTTATTCTAAGAATTCGGATGATACCAACTGATTTACCTTTTCAGTTTAAGCGTTAACAGAAATAAAACTAAAAATGTCACATACATTGAAATTTTGTGATTAAAAAAATAATTTTAAATTATATTTGTATCTCTACAGCCTTAACAAATAACCCTTTGTTGTAGCATAACGTTAATAAGTAAAAATCAACGGCCCTTTTTAGGGCCAATACCTAATTTATGACGTAAGGAATGCACGATACTTTTTACCATTATTTTTTTCCTTTTTTCGATATGTTCAATAAAAAGTTATTTGTTCCAAGAAATGTCAAAAATAGATGTAAAGTTTTTTACCGAAAACGTCCTACATTATGTGTCAACACACACATGTGTTCCATTCAGCGAGTCTCATGCGAAGCCGAGACGGGAAGCTGCTAGTATTAGATAAATGCTGTTTCTATATCAAGCAGCAGTTTTACATTATTAGTTAAATTAGATAATAAAAAAATGTTACACCATTAAGGTTTTTTTTTTATGGTAGAATATATTAATACTTGTTCTTATATTGCTGAGGTGCTCTATCAGAAAAATATATGATACTGTTTATTCAAATGTATTGCTCTCTGTTGATGGCCATACGTTTAGCAGTAGAGGCATTTATCACATACGTGACATGATACTTAGAATCTTTGAAGACGCAATAATTAACATTGAGTATTTTATCACTTTACTTAGTTTTGTAGTATATGCAAAAAGGATGCACAGTTGCTTGTAAGTTATTTTAATAAAAAGTCTGACCCAACTGTTGTATTATAAATAAATAATTTCCGAAAAAATGCATTAAAATTATACTAGTATTAGATACTAAATTACTTCTACAATTAGTTAAATAACGTTTTTGAGTGTCTACTACGTAATAATGTGTTGTTAAAATAATAATATCTATACATAACAGAGTTTTTAAACTAAGTTATCTACAAAGCTCTCAAGTGAAGCTGCATTGACTCAACCCAATTTTTATGTTTGGATTCACTCCTTTCCTAATTCAGTTCTTTTACTAGATATTTGAATGTCTCTAAAACTTCTATTGTCCCGGACATTTATTACATTTTTTCGTCATACAATCTTCACTGTCGATATTGCAAACAGAACCTTGTAATGAATCTCTATGCTAGAAATTTCTTGACAGATCGCATATCTCTAGTTTAACGTTTTGATACTCAGCGCTTACACAACTAGCATGACTTCCGGGATCTCCAGCATGTTAGTATACATTCAGCTGGTATAAGAGACGCAAAGTAAGAATAAGATGGTGGTTTCTTATTTTTTCATGGTTGTCTAAAAGTTTTAGATACAATTTGTGTACATTACACAACAAAATTTTCTTTTATTTGAAAATTTTTCTTCCATCTTTATCCAATGTTGATACAAAACCTTTCTTTCCTGTTTAAGTACAAGTGTTTGCATCATTAACAAAATAATTGAGTACAAGCTGCTGCATTTCAGAGGAAATATTGATGTAACTTTTTCTTACGTAAGTTTTCTGATTACCTAGAAATGCCTACGAAAGCAATGTTATAATTCAGAAATTATTTATTTAGGTGAAATACTATAAAATGAAATACTATATTATCCTTGTAATTTATTTTTTGGTATTTTTCTTTTTTCTTATTGTGTTAAAGTATATCTTTTTATATTTTATTTCTCTAGGAATTTAATAATTTTATGATCCATAGTAAACTTTTTTTTAGACGAAATCCTAGCGACAAATTACGTTCTCTAATTACAAGAAAATCTTAACTCACACGTATATTTTACTTTACAAGAGTTCGCTGTATATTTATAAGTTAAATTTGATATACATACCAAAAATTGTAAATAAATCTTATCAAAAAGAAATCGATAGTTTGATAAAAAGGAGAGTGTGAATATGTAATTTAAATGATTATTGATTGCTCATTCAAAAGACTTTTATTAATTCATCAAAAATTATTTTTAATAAAAAAATCTACGCTACAGTTTTCTGTTAAATAGCAAAAAAATAATTCTATACATACCTTCCAATTGTTTAAACTGACAGAGTTTCTCGAATAAATATTCAGAGCAATCAAAATCCAGTTGAATTTCGATTTTATTCCAATACTATGGTAATAGTGCTCAGATTTCAGATTTTTTATGATTAGATTAAGACTTTTCTAATTCTTTCAATAAGTTTGTGAGCGATTTTTTAAACGTTTATCAGTCTTCTTGTCTATTAGTAGATGGTACACTTTCAGGAACTTTAATATCAAGTTTGAGAAAGTAGACAAAGCCTCAGTTGTTAGTATTACGTACCAGCCGCAATTTAGACCCATAGATATAAAATGAAACTTAGTCATTGAAAGTGCCATTTGCGATACGATAAGGATCTTTCTTGTAACCGGAAATCGACCTGCAAAAAATGGTCCCACCCTCCCCAACAAAAACAATACCTGCCACATCTTTGCCAATAGTTTTTTCGCAATCGCTTACATCATAAGTCAAGGTGGTTGAAATTTTCAGATTTAAAATCAGATTAAACGTTAAACTAGAGATATGCGATCTGTCAAGAAATTTCTAGCATAGAGATTCATTACAAGGTTCTGTTTGCAATATCGACAGTGAAGATTGTATGACGAAAAAATGTAATAAATGTCCGGGACAATAGAAGTTTTAGAGACATTCAAATATCTAGTAAAAGAACTGAATTAGGAAAGGAGTGAATCCAAACATAAAAATTGGGTTGAGTCAATGCAGCTTCACTTGAGAGCTTTGTAGATAACTTAGTTTAAAAACTCTGTTATGTATAGATATTATTATTTTAACAACACATTATTACGTAGTAGACACTCAAAAACGTTATTTAACTAATTGTAGAAGTAATTTAGTATCTAATACTAGTATAATTTTAATGCATTTTTTCGGAAATTATTTATTTATAATACAACAGTTGGGTCAGACTTTTTATTAAAATAACTTACAAGCAACTGTGCATCCTTTTTGCATATACTACAAAACTAAGTAAAGTGATAAAATACTCAATGTTAATTATTGCGTCTTCAAAGATTCTAAGTATCATGTCACGTATGTGATAAATGCCTCTACTGCTAAACGTATGGCCATCAACAGAGAGCAATACATTTGAATAAACAGTATCATATATTTTTCTGATAGAGCACCTCAGCAATATAAGAACAAGTATTAATATATTCTACCATAAAAAAAAAACCTTAATGGTGTAACATTTTTTTATTATCTAATTTAACTAATAATGTAAAACTGCTGCTTGATATAGAAACAGCATTTATCTAATACTAGCAGCTTCCCGTCTCGGCTTCGCATGAGACTCGCTGAATGGAACACATGTGTGTGTTGACACATAATGTAGGACGTTTTCGGTAAAAAACTTTACATCTATTTTTGACATTTCTTGGAACAAATAACTTTTTATTGAACATATCGAAAAAAGGAAAAAAATAATGGTAAAAAGTATCGTGCATTCCTTACGTCATAAATTAGGTATTGGCCCTAAAAAGGGCCGTTGATTTTTACTTATTAACGTTATGCTACAACAAAGGGTTATTTGTTAAGGCTGTAGAGATACAAATATAATTTAAAATTATTTTTTTAATCACAAAATTTCAATGTATGTGACATTTTTAGTTTTATTTCTGTTAACGCTTAAACTGAAAAGGTAAATCAGTTGGTATCATCCGAATTCTTAGAATAAAAGCTATTGGTCCTGATGCTGGACCTGTCAAAATAGTATCTTCTATAATATTATTTCGTAGAGTTTTAATTTGCAGTCTGGTTCCATTACACAGGTTCGGGAGTTGAAGATTACGTAGTAGCATAATCGGAGCTCTAACTTTCAAACTCAACTTGTGGGGTGGAAGTCCTGATGGAGTTAAGGAGTTTAAAAATTCCTGAGGATAATTAACAACATCTTCAGATGCGATGATTGAATCAATAGAGAGGTACTCTTGAGAATCAGCTACAAACTTTTGAAGAATATTGTTGTTAATTTCCTCTGCTGTAGAATTTCTCGGTGAAATGATCGCTCTTTCACATAACCATTGGTATGATTTGTTTGATAAATTTTCAATGTCCGAGTCAACTTCAGACATTAAATCATCGATAGTTGTAACCAGTTTCCCAATTGATTGATCTGTAGTGATTAAATCATTTTCGTTTGCCATCGTGCCATTGCCAATTTTTAACAGCTATGTTGGAAATTCCGTGTTTCTTCCGCAGAGATGTGCTCTCATGGTAGTACGTAATTGGAGAGGCTCTACATAATGCCAGAGAAATGATGATTTTAAACAGGTATGAAAATAATTAGTTCTAGTTCCTCTCGGAATTACTGGTAACGTCTGCCTAAAATCACCAGCAAAAACAAATGTAATGCCACCCATTAAATTCTGGTTTGATCTTAAATCTTGCAATGTTCTATTCATTGCTTCAATGTGAGCTCTTTGACTCATTGTCCACCCATTGTGTACAGTAAATGTTATATCTTGAAGAATTTTTCCAAGTGGGCCATTTTTGCGAATCGAGTAAGTGTAATCTTCTCCGGAAAAAATACATAATGGAAGTTTAAAAGTGGAGTGAGCTGTTCTACCTCCACTCAAGAGAGTGACAGCAATGCCAGAAGATACAACAGCAAGGGACAGTTTTCCAGCCGATCTTGCTTGGGCTAACATAAGACTAATTAGGAATGTTTTTCCAGTGCCTCCAGGAGCATCCAGAAAGAAGACTTTTTTACTCCTATTTAAGTCACTGTCAATTATACGATTAAAAGCTTGTCGTTGGTCTGGAACCAACTTTGGAAGATTTTGCTTAACGTAATTATGTAAATAGTTACAATCATAACCATGTCTGATGGAATGTTCAAAAGGATGATAATTACGGAGATCATTTCGAACCGGTGAATTTAGCCCAAATGCTGTGAAATTTTTTTCTGAAAGAGAGATGATCTTGTCTTTATTTTCAATGAAACCTCTGTTGAATATTTCTTCAGAGAATTTGACTTCAAAATCGTTAAGTTAAATTCGTTGAGA